TGTGAGAGCTTCAGAGCAGGGAGGACAGCTGAGGCCTGGGGAGCGGGTAGCAACAGAAGGGGGATGAGGGTGATGCTGGAGAGGCCAAAGTGGCGTTGAAGGCACTCATTGGGCAGATTTTGATGGGCAGTGGATACTTTTTTTTCCTATTCATTTGTGAGATGTGGGCATCGCTGGCTGGCCAGCATTTCTTGCTCATCCCTAGTTGCCCTTGAAAAGGTGGTGGTGAGCTGCCTTCTCGAACTGCTGCAGACCGCTTGCCATTAGGAAGGGAATTCCAGGATTTTGACCCAGCAATAGAGAAGGAACAGTGATATATTTCCAAGTCAGGATGGTGAGTGGCTTGGAGGGGAACTTGAATGTGGTGGTGTTCCCATATGTCTGCTGCCCTTGTCCTTCTAGATGGAAGTGATTGCGGGTTTGGAAGGTGCTGTCTGAGGATCTTTGATGAATTTCTGCAATGCACGTTGTAGATAGTACACGCTGTTGTGACTGAACATCGGTGGTGGAGGGAGTGGATGCTTGTGGATGTAGTGCCAATCAAGCGGGCTGCTTTGTCCTGGATGGTGTCAAGCTTCTTGAGTGTTGTTGGGCCTGCACTCATCCAGGCAAGTGGGGAGTATCCCATCACACTCCTGACTTGTGCCTTGTAGATGGTGGACAGGCTTTGAGGACTCAGGAGGTGAGCTACTCACTGCAGTCTTCCTAGCTTCTGACATGCTGTTGTAGACAGTGTGTTTATATGGTGATTCCACTTATGTTTCTGGCCAATGATAACCCCCAGGATGTTGATAATGGGGGATTCAGTGATGGTAACACTATTCAATGTCAAGGGACGGTGGTTGGATGTTGAATGGAGGGCACCGATGGAGACACAGACACCTTCTGACCTGAGGTTTGAGCAACACTACCCCCAGCTACTGAACTTGTCCAGTCAGCCTGAAAATTGAACCCAGGCAGGAAATGGTCTCAAGGTGGTCATTATTTGGCTGCTTAATAATTTTGATTGGAGTGTAGGTGGGCTTGCTTCACTCCTCCCAGCACAAAATTATGGAGAGCTTAGGATGGGCAGAAGGCGGGAATAAGGACATTCGATGAATATTGCAGTTCCCTCAACATATGTCTACAAACCTGCAAGTGATAGAAGTAAGAGATAGTAGGAACTGCAGATGCTGAAGAATCTGAGATAACAAGGTGTAGAGCTAGATGAACACAGCAGGCCAAGCAGCGTCAGAGGAGCAGGAAGGCTGATGTTTCAGGCCTAGACTCTAGGCCCAAAACGTTAGCCTTCCTGCTCCTCTGATACTGTTTGGCCTGCTGTGTTCATCCAGCTCTACACCTTGTTATATCAGTGACAGAAGTGAAGTCTGCTCATGATTCCCTCACGTCCATTCTACACAAGGCAGATATTGTATATGGTTAGGGGCAGAGAGCTAGAGGATTGCACTCTTATTCAAAATAATATAGAAGGATAAACTAGACAGTTCCAGGCCAGTGAAAATGGTGGTGGGAAACTTTTACAACATTAACGTAGCAGAAAATTAACAGCTAGTTGAATGAGTAAGAAATAAAGGAGGGCCAGCAAGAATTTTTTTAAGGACAAATATTTGACTAATTGAACATTTTCATGAAGTAAAGTGAATAATGTAACTGAGGGCAGTGCAGTTGATGTTTAGAATATAAATATTCAAAGGTATTTGATGACGGGCTATTGATTCATCAATCCAAATAATCCAAACATTATGCTATCCAAGCCATAATGTACACCAGGCATCTTAACCCTGCCCACCTGGCACCCTACTTACCTGGTGTCCTATCCTCTATCAGTCTGGCATCCTAACCTCCAGAAACTCTAATATTACTGCGTAATTACCATTTAACAGTAGCAGACAAAGTGGCTGTCAGGAGCTTTAAATTTCAGAATATGGCAACTGACTGTCGTGAAACGGGGTATAGTTTGCCTTCCTCTGACAGTTCAGAATAGGATAGAACTGTCAGAATGGAAGTATGCTTCTGCATTTCTGAAGGATCCCTGATCAGGATCTCCTGTCAAAAATAAAAAGAGGAAGGGCTGGAGTCGCAATCTGTAGCTTGAAAGCTACAACACCAGAAATTCAAAACTTATGAATTAATATTAATTGGCAACAATTATTGACTGATGTCAGGAGGTAATAGGACAGAAATTATTGATAACTGGATTCACAAATCATATTCTGCACAAAACAATACATATTAGATCTCACACCAAATTCACTGTTGAAATCTGCAAAAACAGCCTGTCAACATCTTATAGATTACTTATAAAGAAGTCACTTTCAATGCTTTTGTATCTGTAGATTCACTCCAACGTTTCATTTTCCCCACTGGTTTATTGCGATTACATCATTGAATTTTTTTTCCTGACCTTTTACAGGGTCTAATTTTCTGAAGGTTGTTGATGATTGTTAAACAATGTTCTCACGAAGCTGTCTCCTCTTTGGGATTAAGGGATTTTAGTCTTGTCCCAAATATGCTTTCACATCATTCTTTCTGCTCAGTAGAATAAAGTTCCCAGGTTGGAATGCTGTTATTGATCAGCTACAACAATGCAGTTTTGATTCCTTCGCCCAAAGACTCAAAGTCCCTCGTTCTCTGTCTGTTCAGTTTTTTAAAGGTCATTCAGTGCTTCAATCTATGCTACCCCTAAGAATAGTTGAAAACCCATTGGATGAACATGAAAAACAAAGTTAATTTTAGATAACAGTTTAAAGCATCTCAATACCCACTGATCCAAAAGGGGCAATCATTGCTAAAGAAATAAAACAAGAATTCTTCTCATGGCCTATTTCTAACATGCACAATTAACTAAGAAGCATATAAAAGCAAAGTACTACTGATGCTGGAAATCTGAAATAAAAAGAAGCGTCAGAGAAACCCAGCAGGTATGGCAGCATCTGTGGAAAGAGAAACAGAGTTTTAAGTCTGATGTGACTCTTCTTTGGAACTGGAAGGGGCTGAAATATTGCTGTTTTTATTCTGCTGACAAAGGGGAGAGAGGACTAAGTGCAACAAGTGGTGAGGGCACCTAGAAAACAAGTGAAAGGGAGTGCTGATTGTAATACTGGAGTGAAATCTTAGTAAAATAGTTGTTAATAGGAGGTATGAATAATAGAAAATAGATCCGCTTTTATGAGAGCGTTTTAGTGGACCTGCTGGAGGTGGCAGAAATGGTGAATGATCATCCTTTGAATAGTGAATCCTACTGACCTCATTTGAAGCTAGTTGGGTGGAAAATGAGCACAGTAGGAAGCCTACCAGTGTTGTGGGAAGGAAGGGAAGGGTGAGGGTGGGAAATGTGTTGGATATGGCTGAGGGCCCTGTCAATCATGTGGATGGAATCCTTGGTTGTGGAAAATAGAGGACATGGTGGTGGGACCGCTGACTAAGAATTTTTTTTCCCTTTAGGCGGTGGGGAAAGGTTCCAGAAACATTGTTTTTTTAATTTTGTTGACAAAACATAAATTTCTGGATCAGAAGATTAAGTGCTATAAAGGTACTAAGCTAGTGAAGATTTATTGTTAATTGCACTGTATATTTTCTGTTTCACATCAATTCATTTTGTGTTGTGTGATTTATTTCTCAAAATCAATTATTTATATAAACTCTGAAATTACGTATTAAAATGATGTATGAAATCACACATTAATCTGCGTTCTTCACAATTCCTTTTATGTAATAAAATATTTCAGTGTGTCAAAAGCAAAAGAATTGCCTGAAAATGGAAGTTGCTTTTTAATGAAGGAAAATGCTGCATGAGAGCAAACATTAAATATGTGTGCAATTGGAATATGGCATATTTTATATATAAAAAAATCTGGAAAAGGTTAGTTATGAATACTGGCAATAAAATGACACAAAGCTACAGTACATGTAGCTGACATGTACTATATTAATTAGATGTTAATGGTTATGGGCTGGGTAATACCCCACCTATTCTAGTGATCACTTAAATTTCTGTGTCTTTTTCCATTCCTATTTGGGGAGAATCATGCAAATAAGATATTAGTAAAGTGTTGATATCCCATTTCCAATCATTCCTTGTTAATTTTTAATAAATGCTAATCATTGCAATAAAAGTTAATTCCAGTTTGCCAACTGCTGCCCTAAAGGCAGAAATAAATTGAAATGGAAGAGCTTTTCAGTTGAAACCTCATCATTCTGGTGTTTTCCTTGTATTTATATCAGTTGTCACATGCTACGTCATTTTCCTGTGAAGCCTTTCCAGAGGGGGAGCAATGAGTTTCCTACCAAGGATTTCCTTCCATCTAGGAATAAGAGATAAGGCAACCATGTGGGGCAATCCAGCAATTCTCCAAACCAGATATTGTAGAATATATCCCATTGGATATGTAATGTTATTGATATTTTTAATCAACTTGTTCAAAAGCATTATAATACACCTCTGGAGCAGGTGGGACTTGAAGCCAGACCTTCTAGCTCAGAAGTAGGGACACTACAAGTATGCCAGAAGAGCCCTTGTGAACAAGAGCCCTTCTATATGAACTATATTTAGTTCTATTCTGCCGAAGTCTGCTAATTGTCACATCAGATCATCCAGAAAACAGGCAGTTTCCCATTTTGCACTGTAGTGGTACCAGCCATCCCAGTGTTTGGAATCTCCCAGTTTGACTTGGAATAGTTGCTAGCATTTCCAGCATATATAGTTCCCCAGGATTTATTAAGTGTTCTGTTGTATCAAAAGGCACAAGAATCCCAGCTGCCTGTGTGTTAGATAATAATTATTTCACACTGTTTGCTTTTTGAGCTTTAAGGCTTTTTAACTGTTTAGCTGATACAAAATCACAAAAGGGATTAAATTGGATAAGTCCTGAAAGTGTACGCAAGGATTACAATGTAAGATTTACTCCTGCCCATTGGTTGCAATATAGACAGGACGTTAAATTTGTGATGGATGAGTATTTATTTCCATGATTGCTGCGTGCAGCCAATGCTCTCTTAAGGTTTGCACATGAGCAATTGAAAAATAGCCCATCTGAGTGGAACACAGCAGAGTGAGTGCCTTAATTGGGAATTTAGAGCACAGTGGGAATTCATTACAAGGACGAGAGCTTTTTGCTTTTTTTTGGTTATATCTTGAAAGGACTATATTCTATAGTAATGAATAACAAGGGATACGGGCCCTGGAGTATTTGATATTATGTATCTTCCATTTAAAGGAGTGAATTATGGCGGCAGAGCTCAAAGCTGTGGGGTGCTCTTCCTGCTGTGTGTGGGAAACTGGCAACATTTCCAGTGGCCAGCTGTAACATGTGCGCAGAAGGTGTCTCCAGCTGCAGCTCCTGGAAGCTCGGGTTTCGCAGCTGGAGCAGCGGCTGGGAACACCGTGGAGCATTCGCGAGGTGGAGTGTACTTTGAAAAGCGTGTATTAGGAGGTTGTCGCACCACAGGCTAAGACTCCAAGGCAGAAAGGAAATGGGTAACCAGCAGGCAGAGCAAGAGGACAAGGCAGGCAGTGCAGGAGTCACCTGTGGCTATTGCCTACAAAACCGATATACAGCTTTTGAAACTGTTGAGGGGAATGGTGCCTCGGGGGAAAGGAACAACAGCTGACTTTATTGCACCATGGTGGGCTCTGTTGCACAGGGGAGGAATAAAAAGTGTGGGAACGCAATAGTTACGGGGCATTCAATTGTAAGGGGAATGGACAGATATTTCTAGGCTGCAGATGAGATTCCAGGATGGAATGTTGACTCCCTGGTGCTAGGATCAATGATATTTCAGAGCGGCTATTGGACTTTCTGGAGGGAGAGGTTGAACAGCCAGTGGTTGTTGCATACATCGGTATAAACAGCACAGGTTAAAAAAAAAGGAAGTAGAATATGGGGAGTTAGGAAGTAAGTTGAAAAGTTAGACCTCAAAAGCAGGAATCTCAGGATTGCTATCAATGCCATGTGCTAATCAGTGTAGAAATGGTAAGATATATCAGATGAATATGTGGCTAAAGAGATGGTGTGATGGGGAGGGTTTCAGATTCCTGGGGCATTGGGACTGGATCTGGGGGAGATGGGACCAGTGCACACTGGATGGATTACACCTTGACAGACTGGGGCTGAAATCCCAGGTCAAATGGTTGGAGAGACTTTAGACTGAAATTACAGGGGGAATGAGAACTTATGCAAGGAGTCAATGGAAGGGGAATCAGGACAAGAATAAAAGCTAAAAAGGGCAATAAGAGAAGTGATAGGCAGAGAAATCAAGAGCCAGGATTAAACAGTGAAAAAGAATAACAATGGGACAAGTAATGTTAAAAAGACAAGGTTTTCTGCCTTAATGTGCGGAGCGTTCACAATAAAATTAATGAATCATCGTGCAACTAGATGAAAGCAGATTTGATATAATAGGCATTATGGAGGCATGGCTGCAGGCTAAACAAGGCTGGACCTCTGAATATCTGGGGTATTCAGTATTTAGGAAGGGCAGAGAAAAATAACAGTGAGGAAGCATATTATCTCCAACGATGTGGAATCTGTATGAGTAGAGCTGAGAAACACCAAGGGGTAAAAAACATTAGTGTGTGTTATATATAGACCATAAAAATGTAGGGATGATGTTGGAAATGGAATTAAGCAGGAAATTAGACATGCATGAAAGAAAGGAACATCTGTAAATATGGGTGACTTTAATTTGCATAAACATTGGGCAACTTAATTTAGTAGCAATAGCATAGAGGACGATTTCCTGGAGTGTATATGGGATGGTTTTCTGGATGAATGTGTTGAGGATCAGCTAAAGAAGAGGCAAATGTAGACAGGGTATTGTGCAATGAAAATGGAATAATTGGCAATCTAGTTTGTGTGAGGACCCTTGGGGATAAGTGACCTTAATATGATAGAATTCTTCACCAAGATGTAAAGTGATGTAGTTGATTCTGAGGATAGGGCCCTGAATCTAAATAAAGGAAACTGTGATAAGATGTAGCATGAGTTGGCAATGTTGGTTTGAGAAGTGTTATTCTAAGGTATGATGGTGGAAAGTCAACAACTAACACTAAAAGAGCACATGGGTGAACTGCAACAATTGTTCATTCCTGTTTGGTACGAAAGTAAAATGGGAAAAGTGGCCAGACCATGGCTCACAAGGAAACTTAGAGATAGTATTAGATCCAAGGAAGAGGCATACAAATTGGCCAGAAGAAACAACAGAACTGAGGACTGGGAGCAGTTTAGAATCAGCAAAGGAAGACAAAGGGGATTAATTGAGAAACGAAAAATAGAGTATGTGAGTAAGCTCAGAGGGAACATAAAACTGATTGTGAAAGCTTCCATAGGTAATCGGAAGGAAGAAAATTAGTGAAGACAAACATCTTACGGTGATAAACATAGGAATTTATAATGGGGAACAAAGATGTGGATGACCAACTAAATACATACTTTGGTTCTGTGTTTACAAAGGAGGACAGAAATAAAGTATCAGAAATATTGGGGAACACTGGGTTTAGTGAGAGGGAGGAACTGTAGGAAATCAGTATTGGTAAGGAAATGATTTTGGGGAAATACTTGGAATTGAAGGACAATAAATCCTCAGGGCCCAATCTACATCCCAGAGTACTTAAGGGAGTGGCCCTAGAAATAATGGATCTTTAGGAGTCATCTTTCAAGATTCTATTGACTCTGGACAGTTCCTACAGCTTGGAGGGTAGCTAATATAACTCCTCTATTTAAAAAGAGAGGTAGAGATAAAACTGGGAATTATAGACCAGTCATCTTGACATCTGCAGGGGGGAGCATGCTCGAGTCCATTTTAAAGGATTAATAGCACAACACTTGGAAAATAGTGGCAGGATCAGACAGACATGAATTCAAGAAAAGGAAATCATGTTTGACAAAATCTATTGGAATTCTTTGAGGATATATCTCATAGAGATAGTCACAGGGAACCAGTGGATCTGGTTTATTTGGACGTCTAGAAGGATTTTTTCAAAGTCCCACATAAGAGATTAGCATGTAAGGTTAAAGCGCATGGAATTGGGGATAGCATAATGGGATGGATTGAAAGCCGATTGGCCTACAGGAAACAAAGAGGAGGAACAAATGTTTCTTCTTCCCAATGGCAAGCATTGACTAGTGGTGTACCATAAGCATCTGTGGTAGGACCCCAGCTATTCACAATATATGTTAATGATTTAGATGAAGGAAGTAAATATGATACCAACATATTTGTAGATACACAAAGTTGGGTGGGAGGATGAACTGTGAGGAAGATGCAGAAATGTTTCATTGTGATTTTGCCAAGCCACTTTCATAGCAAAAACAGGTAAGGAAAAGCCAGGGAACTACATACTGGTGAGTCTGACATCAGTGGCGGGCATGTTGTTGGAGGGAATCCTGAGGGACAGGAATTACATGTATTTAGAAAAGCAAGGACTGATTAGAGATAGTCAACATGGCTTTGTGTGTGGGAAATCCTGTCTCACTAACTTGATTGAGTTTTTTGAAGAAGTAACAAAGAAGATTGAGGAGGGCAGAGTAATGGACGTAGTCTATATGGACATCAGTAAGGCTTCCACAAGGTTCCTCATGGTAGACTGGTTAGCAAGGTTAGATCACGTGGACTAGAGGGAGAATGAGCCATATGGGGATACAGAACTGGCTTGAAGGTAGAAGACAGAGGCTGGAGATGGAGGGTTGCTTTTCAGACTGGAGGCCTGTGACCAGTGGTGTGCCACAAAGATCGGTGCTGAGTTCATTGCTTTTTGTCATTTACATAAATGATTTGGATGTGAACATAGGAGGCATGTCAGTAAGTTTCCAGATGACACCAAAATCGGAGCGGCAGTGGACAGCGAAGAAGGTTACCTCAGAGTACAATAGGACCTTGATCAGATGGGCCAAGGAGTGGCAGATGGAGTTTAATTTCAATAAATGTGAGCTGCTGCATTTTGGAAAGGCAAATCAGGGCAGGATGTATACACTTAATGGTAAGGTCTTGGGAAGTGTTGCTGAACGAAGAGACCTTGGAATGCAGGTTCATATTTACTTGAAAGTGGAGGCGCAGATAGACAGGATAATGAAGATGGCATTTGTATGCTTGCCTTTATTGATCAGTGCATTGAGTATAGGAGTTGGGAGGTTTTGTTGTAGCTGTACAAGACATTGGTTAGGTCATTTTTGGAGTACTGTGTGCAGTTCTGGTCTCCCTGCTTTAGGAAGAATGTTGTGAAACTTGAAAGAGTTTAGAAAAGATTTACAAGGATGTTGCCAGGATTGGAAGGTTTGAGCGATAGGGAGAGGCTGAATAGGCTGGTGCTATTTTCCCTGAAGTGTCAGAGGCTGAGAGGAGACCTTAAAGAGGTTTATAAAATCATGTGGGAGATAGATAGGGTAAAGAGCCAAGGTCTTTTACCCAGCGTGGGAGAGTCCAAAACTAGAGGGCATGGGTTTAAGGTGAGAGGGAAAAGATTTAAAAGGGTCCTAAGGGGCAACTTTTTCGTGTAGAGGGTGGTGTGTGTAAGGAATGAGCAGCCAGAAGAAGTGGTGGAGGTTGGTACAATTACAACATTTAAAAGGCACCTGGCTGGGTATATGAATAGGAAGGGTTTAGAGGGATACGGGCCAAATGCTGGCAAATGGGACTAGATTAGGTTAGGATATCTGGTTGGCATGGACAAGTTGGACTGAAGGGTCTATTTCTATGCTGTACAGCTCTATGACTCTATGACTCTATGACTCTAAACAGGCAAATTATTATCTGAATGGCTGTAAATTGAGGAGAGGATTATGCACTGACACCTGAAGGCAAGCAGGCAGGTGCAGCAGTTAATAAAGAACATAAATTTCAGCCTTTAGAATGAGAGGATTTGAGTGCAGGAGCAGGGATATCTTGCTGTAAATTACACAGGACCTTGGTAAGAACATGTCTGAAGTATTGTGTGAAGTTTTGGTTTCCTTATCTGAGGATGTGTGTTCATGCTGTAGACGGAGTGCAGTGATGTTTACCAGATTTTTCCTGGAATGCCAGGTATGACAATACAATGGCTTTAAGAGATGTATTT